CATAGTTGAGGTATACCTATGATGAAAATTACAGGCCTCTCTCATCTTTTTAAGTGGGAGAACTTGCACAATTGGTGGCTGACTAAATACTTCTTTGCCCCACTGTAACATTCCCATTCCCTCATCCCTTTTTAGTTTCCTTATTTTTCGTTGTCCAATTTTTTCACTGGATTATGAAGCAGGTGGTCCTCATTTAGTGACCACAATTGGGACCAGCAACTTGGTCATTAAGCAAAGCAGTCGCTAAGTGAAACCGCAACTGCTTACGATCTGCCTTCAGCTTTCTTTTGCTTTATAGACCTGCAAAGGTCGTAAATGTGAGGATTGGTTGTAAAGTTACTTTTTTATCACCATCATAACTTCAAATGGTTGCTAAATGAGGCAGTCGATAAAAAGGACTACCAGTCGGTAAATGAGGACTACCTGTAATTTCTTTTAGAACAATGAATACTTTTAAGATACGGCATCCATATACTAAAACCTTTCTCTCCCCTGTACATGATTTGTAAATGTACGCAACAGGTCTTCCCTACACATTCCTGTGTTGTGAACAAGCAGCAGTTGCAAAAGCAAGGTGGATAATGGGCTGTCCCAAATACTCAGGCCCAACACAAGTAGGCAGCCACACACTCGACCTCATTCTTGTGTCCAAGCAGAGGTGATCTGGATAAGGAGGGCATTCCCATCTGTCCTTTGCCATAGTCAGATCACTTCCTAGACCTCTGTAAGGTAAATGGGCCAATTAAGATGGTCAGCTCCAAGTGACTTTTAGATCCAAAAGGTCTCTGATTGACCCTAGGAGATTTTCCCAGTGATCTTGCAGGTTACCCATGGCACAGGAAGTGACCCAGGCACTTATGTGCTTCCCCCCAGGCAGCCTCTCCCTGTTGATCAATCCTGTTGGCTCCTTGGATGTACCAAGGACCTCCAGGAGATCAAGCAGGAGGAGAAACTTGTAAAGAACTGGTGGAGGAAGATGGAAAATGAATCTGATCAAGCATGGGTATGAAATCAAGTTGGAGCCTATCACCAAGTTGGTGATAAGGGATGTGAAATGTTGCTACTTCTCTTATTGTGTTGACAAGCTTTGTTCAGAGGCCTTGTTTAGGGTACCTAATTCCCTTTCAGGGAGACGCAACAAGTAGATCTCCTGCCTGGCTGCTGTCACCAGTCAGAGCAGCATTTTGTCAGTAAACTTACTCAGATTCACTGAAATCTTGGCTTCTTGTGAGTGGTTATTATTAGGCTTAATCCTTGTCCCTTCTGGCTCCTTAGGGGTTAGAGAATGTGACAGATTGGATCTAGGAAGTAGTCAGTGCCCTCATTCAAGAGCGGGCCAATAGTCCTGAAAGAGACTCTGCCACACCCCCACCTAAACAGGACTTCCCTGGATCCATTGGTATTTGAAACTATCATCCTGTCTATAACTTCACCTTTTTGGTGAAAATTACTAAGACTGTGGTCAAGGCACAGTTACAGAACACCCTAGAAGAAGATTATCTGGCCCATTTTCAGTATGGATTCAGATCTGGACATGGGATGGAGACTGTGTCAGTTACTCTTGTTGATGGCTTTTGTCAGGAGTTGGATGGGGATAATGCACCCCACCCAATCCCTTTGGACCGCTCAGCAGCCTTCATTACCACTGATCGTGGAATTCTTCTGGACCATCTGCGAGCGCTGGTTAATTAGAATCACTCCTTGAGCAGGTAGTTCCAGTTGGTCAGGATTAGCCAAGCAGCTGCTCCGTTGTGGGTTGCTACAGGGTTCAGTTCTTTCTCCCCTACTTTGTAAGATGCATATGAAGCTGGTAAGGTTGGTCATCAGGGCACAGTATCTTCAGGATGCTTAACTGCATATGTTACAGATTTTTACCCTGGGCCATAGAGGAGATGCCATCAGTATTTTGACTCAGTGTCTGAAGGCAATAAGGGTCTGGATGGGATGAACCAGGCTAAAATTAAACCAAGCAAGTCCATGTTTGTCTGAGTTCCTTGGCATCTACAATGTTGTCTCCTGATGGAGAGACAGTGCCCCTGAAGGAGCAGATCTGTGACTTGGAGGTCCTCCTGGACTTGAAGCTACTGCTGGATGGGCAGGTAGAGGCCATGGCTGGGAGAACCTTTGTCCAGCTTCAGCTGGTACACTAGTTGCAGCCCTGTTTGGAGCATGAGGACCTCACAATAGTATTTCACAAACTCATGGTCATTTGTTTGAACTACCGCAATGTGGTGTACATGGGGTTGCCTTTGAAGACAATCCAGAAGCTTTACTTGGTCCGGAATTCAGTAGCCTTTGGTGGCAGATACATGCTGACATAAGCACATTACACTATGCAGTGTTTGAGTACCTGCACTTCAAAAACAAGTCAAAATGCTGTTTTTGACCTTGGCACCAGAGGACTTCCAGGGCCCTTTTCCAACTGGTTTTGACCTACCCAACCTGTCCTGTGAAAATCTGCTTGTGCTTCCCCATTTCCACAAGGTGATGGGTGTGCAAGCTTGTAGATGCTGTGCTTTTCTGTTCGTGTATCTGCTCTTTTGAACAGCCTCCCCCTAGAAATTCCTCATATAACAATAAAAAATGGTTCTACTGTATTTTTAGGGACATATTGTAGCCACCAAGATAAGTAATATCTGCCACTGAGGGACAGCCATTTTCACAAGTAGAAAGAATTTGCAGACCCTCTTGTTTACTTTTGTAGAAGTGGCAGTTCTGTTTCTATCCACTTGCCAGTCTGATATGGCCTTAGAGGACTGAGACTGTAATGATGTTCCAGCAGTTAGATTATAAACTGGTTGCTTGTTCAGGAAGATGGAGAAGCTTGATCATCCTGGGGTTAGAAGACACTTCTTGTAAGCCTCTGCTTGAAATCCCCCCCAAAAAGCCCACAACTTAAAAGAGAAAAAAAAAAGCCCATCATATACTCACTGAAAAATAAGGGGGTTGAATTGCTCTATTTTAGCAACATTAATGTACTTTTATAACCTATGTAAATTAATTGAATTCATTTTGTGGGAAACTAAACTTGATAAAAGATGCTTTAAAATTATTTTTGTTTTTTTCCAAAACATCCAACATTTTTTCTATGGCCTCAAAATTTCCAGAAAAGTTATGTTGTTGTCCCAGCACTTACCTGGTGCACATATTATTTGTCCAGGTGCTCCCGAGTTTATTGGAGCACAACAGATGCTCGAAAGCGTTGTGTTTACACGTGCAAGATCATGGAATGTCGTCCTCCCCTCCTGGAGTCAGATATCAACAGCACCATGGAGCACGATGACAACCGAACTATTGCTCACAGCCCAGTGCCACTTTCAGGTGTGTTCCAACAGAAGCGGTTCCTTTGTGACAAACTGTTTGTCTTGCCTGCGCAGTTTCTTTTTAGAAAGTCCCTTTAACTGAATGCTGCAAAGTTCGCATGTCAGGCCTGCAAAAGTACTTCTTTGTAGCTGTTGCCCAGTTTCAGGGGAAGCCAGAAAGGGGCTAAGTGGTCACTGTGGCTTCCTCTTCCTTGGGTCTAGAAATTAGGCTGTAAACTATGCCTACTTTGCATAAGTAGTTGCATCTCTTGTGCATAATGGAGAACAAAAGGGCAGGTGGAACACGGGTGGTTGAGTCATCTTCCTCCTCTGTGAGTTCTGGAATGTGTATCTCACGGGGTCCTTCCTTGCTGCCTGAGAAACTGGAGATAGCCAACTTCTCGGCTGGGGTAGAAGAGAGGAGTATTCACATCATAAAAGCATACCTCCCCAATGCATACAGTTCTCACTTTTATTTCATGATGGTAAGGTGCTAGGGCCCTTCCCTTTCCTGTGGAAAAAGAAATGCCTTCTTTCGGGTTTTTTCTTCCCCTGAAATACGTTGTTCAAATACATTTTGATTTTAGTTCAAATTGGATGGTGCTCCTGTTTTTCTTCTGCAGCAGAAATTCCAGCCAGAGATGGCCATGCAGTATCAGATGACATAAACCCTCCACCTGCAGATCTTTCTTCACATCCTCAGAACTTCAAGGCTCTGCGGGTCAGAACACCAAGTTTTGCTCCTTCCCAGCGAACTCCTGGTTCGAGGCCATTGCCTTCTGCAGGTCTGGCTCACAGACACATACCCTTCTTTTTCCTGTGATGGCTTTTGACTTGATTGTAGCTTTAGAATTTTGAAAATTTATTTTTCTTACATGTAAGAAGTATATCCAGATATTTAAATAATTTAAATACCTTAAAAAGTATTTCCAGATAAGACTCAACCAGCCATATTGTAACTTAAAGCCTGGGAAAAATTTTGTTCTCTTTGTTTTTCTAGTCCCGCTGTGTTATTTTGAGTTACAGCCTGCCTTTCTACCTGGAAAGCACCAAGGAGGCTGTTTGTGATAGCTTTATTTGAGGGAAAAAAGAGCAGAACTGAACTAGAGACAAGTGTTTGGCCCTGGGGATCAGGTCTCTTTGGGGTTCATTGGATTCAATTTTTTTTTTTTAATTATCTCTCTCTAGGAAGCCCTACCCCTGTGACACATGAGATCGTAACTGTGGGAGATCCTCTGTTGTCCTCTGGACTTCGGAGCATCGGCTCCAGGAGGCCCAGCACATCTCTGTTTTCACAGCCACTGAGGTCCTGGATGCTGCCTCCCACCAGAGTTGGGACCACTAATGCTCGACACAGCACCATCTCTTCAGGACCCAGCATGAGTCCTGCCTCAGAGCACGACATTAGCATCAAACTTACAGAACGTTCTGTGGGACCAGCAGCCTTGCACATTGCTCTCCAGGACACCCCTCTCGGTTGTCAGAGTCCAGCAGTAGCAAGTGGAGGCAGAGGAGCTTCTCCTCTGGAGGGAACCCTCTCCTTTGAAACTGTGTCTTCTGGAGGGCCCTTTTCTGCCAAGTTAGAGAAGGGTAAGCTGCTGAGCCCCAAAGATTCGAGTGCTTCCTGTGGGAACTCAAAAGCAGGCTGTCATGGGCAAAGCTCCTCTGGCATAGAAATAAACCCAAGCAAGGGAGGGAAGTTTCCAGAGTGCCCTTCTGGGCTGTTTTCTCCCAAAGAATCTGTGGCTTCTCCACTGTTGCATCAGAAACCCCCAAAGAAAGAACAAGACCAGCATCTAGCACAGCCAGACAAAAATTGCTTTTACGAAGCTCCAGAAGCAAAGACTTCACCATTTTCAGGAGTGAGTAACCGATCTTGTATGAATGATCCAGTCCCTTCTGTGGGTAGAGAGAGGCGACAAAAAATGAAAAAGGGAACAAAAGAGAGACATTCTAGTAAGCTTTTTAGGAGTTTAAGTCTCCTCCCAAGTAGCCACAAAGAAAGTGCAGAGACAGAATTTGTTCATCAGGCAATGACACCCGAGCACGTTAATCAGAAGCACTATAATAGCATTGCTGTTGAGAAGCTCATGGACAATAGTTTGCTTAGCCAGGGGGCAGCCAAAGCACCTTTCCAGAGTGAAACGGCCATTTCCAAGGATTTGCAGACTTCACAGAAGCGCACAGTGAAAGTAACTCTGACTCCACTCAAGATGGAAGGTGAAAGCCAATCCAAGAATATTCAGAGGGAGAATGATGCAGAATCTCAGCCTAAGGTTTGCAAACCAGCTTCTGGGTCCCAGTCCACTTCCATTCCAGAGCACTCAGGAAATAGTTGTGTTGTCCCAGAAAGTCAAAATTCTACTTCATCCTCAGCAGCCCCAAGTGATCCACCTTATCCAAATCTGCCTGTTCAAGACAGCAGCTTGATGCTCCAGGATGGAGCAAAAACGCAGGAAGATGGGTCTTACAAGCGGCGATATCCCCGGCGTAGCGCACGTGCCAGATCCAACATGTTCTTTGGTCTTACCCCTTTGTATGGTGTGAGATCATATGGTGAGGAGGACCTTCCCTTCTACAGCAACTCCACAGGCAAGAAGAGAGGAAGGCGGTCTGCTGAGGGACAAGTGGATGGTGCTGATGATCTCAGCACATCAGATGAGGAAGACCTGTATTACTACAACTTCACTAGAACAGTTGTCTCAAGCTCAGATGAGCACACTGCTTCTCATAGTTTATTCCGTGAAGAGGAACAGATCAACCTCCCCAAAATCTCCCAGCTAGATGGTGTGGATGATGGAACGGAAAGTGATACAAGTGTCACAGTGACCACAAGGAAAATCAGTCCGGGGAACAAGAGGGGTGGCAAAGAAAATGGAACCGAAAGCTTAAAACTTGAACGAAGTGAAGATAGCGGGGAGAAAGTGCAAGTGACCAAGAGTTCAGTGGGCCACAAAACCGCAGATCCCAAAATGGAGAACTGCCGGGTCAAAAACCAGGATTCTTTGGAAGCTCAGCTGAGCTCCCTAGAAGCTGTTGGCCGCCGTCCTCGTCCCAACACAGAGCCCTCTGAGAAGAACCTGCTGGATACGTTCAGCACAGAGCTGCTGAAGTCAGACTCCGACAACAACAACAGTGACGACTGTGGGAACATTCTTCCTTCGGACATCATGGACTTTGTGCTGAAGAACACTCCCTCGATGCAGGCCCTGGGAGAGAGCCCGGAGTCTTCATCCTCGGAGCTCCTCACCCTGGGAGAAGGGCTGGGCCTTGACAGCAATCGGGGCAAAGATATGGGCCTCTTTGAGGTGTTCTCCCAGCAGCTACCAGCAGCTGAGCCAGTAGACAGCAGTGTCTCTTCATCCATTTCAGCAGAGGAGCAGTTTGAGCTGCCCTTAGAGCTGCCTTCTGATCTCTCGGTCCTGACCACCCGGAGCCCTGCCGTCCCCAGTCAGAACCATGGCAGACTTGCAGTCATTCCGGAACCTTCCCTTGCCTCCTCAGGGGAGAGGTCAATGCTAGCTCTCCCTGCCACAGACTCTGCTGAAAAGAGGGTGACAGCCACAGAAAAGCCTTCCTCCAGTGAAGCAGAGCCAACGCTGCTAAGCCCACGAGTGGCCCCAAGCCCCGATCCTTTCATTCAGAGCCACTTGGAAGCAGAGCACCTGGCCAGCCCACCCTGTGGACCAAGAGAAGCCGGCCTTGGAGCCAGCCAAGACTTGGCTAGGACCACTGGGACCCCTGGCCTCCCAGTTTCTCCCTCCCTCCCCCTCCAAAATCCCAAGTATGGGCCAAATGCCACAGACAGCCCCGGTCCATCTCCAATCTCGAACGCTGCTGTGCAGACAGCCCCTCTCCACTTGAAGGCAGCTGCTGACAAGCTCTTGGTTGTGAACCAGAACATGCAGCCTTTGTATGTCCTCCAGACTCTTCCCAACGGGATTACACAAAAGATCCAGCTGACCTCTTCGGTCAGCTCTGGGCCAGCCGTGATGGAGGCCGGGGCTTCTGTTCTTGGGCCAATGGGCACAGCCAGCCTTGCCCTGGCTGCAGGCCTAAACCCCAGCTTACCTTCCTCCAGGCCTCTCTTCCCCCCGGCTGGCAAAGGGCTGCTGCCCATGCCCCATCAACAGCACTTGCATTCCTTTTCTGCAAGCCCCTCCAGCGGCAGCAGCAGCAGCAGTTTCCCAGCAGCCCTTGGCAGCTCTGCCCCGGGCCTCCTGATTGGTGTCCAGCAGCCGCCTGACCCTGAGGCGAGTCAAAGGGCAGATATTGGGCCTGCGGTCACCCCCCCACCCACCGGCCTCAGCAAGAAACGGCCCATTGCGCGCCTGCACTCCCGAAGGAACAAGAAGCCTGCTCCTACTGCTGTTGCTCCTTCTGACGTCGCCTCAAACATGACCTTGATTAACTTTACTCAGTCCCCGCCACCCAGCCATCCAGGCCTGCTGGATCTGGGAGCTACATCCCCTAGAACCTTGCCCAGCATTATCAAGCGCTCCAAGTCAGGGGTTATGTATTTTGAGCAGGCATCTCTGTTGCCCCAGGGGGTGGGAGCCTCCGCTGCAGAAGCGGCCCTTGGAACATCTCCTAGCATAGCTGGGCCAGAGTCTGGCCACCTAGCGTCCCCTCCGTCTGCACTGAATGTGGCCCCCCTGCCAGCTCCTGCAGCACCTGCCACAGGCCCAGTGGTTCCTCCCCACCTGTTGGGACAAGGGGGGTCTGAAGTGCCGGGCGTTTCAGATATGAGCTCCCTCAACAGCCTTTTAATCAAAGCCACTCGGCGAGGTCTGGGCCTCCCCGACCAGCCTGCTTCAGTGCCATTGGCAGCTTCCAGGATGTTTCCATCACATGAGGAGGTCTCGTCAGCTCAGTCTGCTTCCACGGTGGTGGCAGCGGCAACAGCTGCTGCAGCGACCAACATCTCTGTCTTGCCTTCCTCGCAGGCAGTGGGCATGTCAGCTGATCCTGGAAGCTCCTACCAGGCTGAGCCTCTAACGCAGCTTCTGGCGTGCAAAGCTGGGCCTGCCCCACCTCAAATGGACCTCCCTCCTCCCCAGGCATCTCCACTTTCAGACTTTCCCCAGCTGATGGACACGGCAGTGGTGGAGCAAAAGAGACTGCCCCCCTGTGCCCCTTCAGCCTCCCCTGGGAGTTCCGCCTCCACTGTGCCAGGCTCCGCGAGGGCCAAGTCCAAAGTTAAGCGCTTGCAGACCCCTTTGGGCAGCAAAGGATCTGGGAAGAAACCCAAGATGCCTCCCTTCTGGAACAGCTTCCCTGGCCAATGCATTCCACAGCAAGGCGCAAGGGTGGCAGCCCAGGACCCAGGTGGAGGGTGAGAGAGCTGTGTCCCCTGACTTTCCTACCCTTTCCAACAAAGCAGCCTCAGCAGTTCTATAGTAGTCGCTGCCTGCTGGCTGAGAGGCAAGTTCACCCTGCTCTGCTCCTGGATCAACAGGACGGGGGCAGGGCATTGGCTGGTTTGGGGCCTTTTTGTTGGTTCTGAAAGCATGGGAAGTCCAGGTGGTAACTGTAAAGCCTCCCACTTGGCTTCCATCAGTGCTTACTCTAGAAACCAGCCTCTCCCCAACCTTGTGAAAGTAATGTGCTCCTCTGTAGTTCAGTGAAGTGTCACTGGATTTGTGACAAGCCTGATTTTAAAGCTATATTCTACCTGCCCATATATTCTAGGTCTCAGTCCTTGAGGGTGCACCCAGAGGAGACAGTAGATGTAGTGCAGCCAGTCCACAAAGCAGCAGGGTAAGTGGATCCCTTGGGGCTAAATCTGGTTGGGGGAGGAAACAGCAGGGGTTCTGCATGCCAAGACCACACTCACTCCCACTGCCTTTATAGAACAAGAATCATTCTTATATTGGGTGCATCTGAGTCCTGAAATGCCAATGGGGACTTCAAAAGAGCCAGGAAAACAGCACCAGGTTCTTATTGTGGAAATAAATGGTCCACATTTGCCTGACTGTTCAGCACCATAGAATCCGCTGTTGTGTTTCTCAAGGCATTCTAGTCAGCTCCTTAGAAGAGAAAATGACTATTACCACTAAAGGCCTTCTGCTGAATCTATTCTTCTCCCACCAAACATGTAGGCGCCTGCCAGAAAACTTCTGAAACATATCCTGTACCTGGAACTTTTCTTCCTGTCAAATGATTAGCCTAACCAAAGGTGGTGGCAAGCTTCTCAGCTATACTGAAGGCCTACAAGGCCTCAGTTGAAATAGGTCTCTCACCTTTTTCCAACAGTCCTTCTCTCTACAGGCAGCTACAGTCTCTCCCAGAATTGCAGCCAACACAGCCTACTGCAAATGAGTTAGAACGTGCAGGTATGTAAAGGCAGACATCTTTTTGCCCTGCCTGAGAGCTATCTGGCAGTTCTGCATATCACAGTCCTGCTTCATTGGTGTTAAATTCACGGGAACTTTTTTCAGAATGTTTCCTGTTGTGATTTGCATGGTTGGGAGGTCATGAGGGTTCATTTTTTCCTCCAGATTCCAAAATTCATGAGGAAGAGGAGGAGGAGGAGGAGGAGGAGGAGGAAGAGGAGGAAGAAGGTAGCTTTAGCTCCCCCCTCATGTTTTGGCTGCAGCAAGAGCGAAAACGAAAAGAAAGCCTTGCAGAGAAGAAGCCCAAGAAAGGACTGATTTTTGAAATCTCCAGTGATGATGGCTTTCAGATCTGTGCAGAAAGTATTGAAGGTAGGTCCAAGAGAGGGGCTACTGCATCAAAGTCTTGCATCAAAGGGCTTGTTTCAAGGTGATATAGGAGTGTGACATGGTAGAACGTCTGGTTCTAAGAGAGCTTTGCCGTTCCTTCCATTAAATCCTTGTTCGTTTCTCTTCTCTTAACCTTAGAGGCCTGGAAATCCTTGACAGATAAAGTTCAGGAAGCTCGGTCGAATGCCCGCCTGAAACAGCTTTCCTTCGCAGGTACCAGCGGGAGTAGGCTGAGGGGAGAGGTGTCAGCCATTTTCTTGAAAAGAAGAAGCAGAGTGTCCCATTTGCTGCTTCATTCAAAGCAAGCCTCGCAGAGTGACCAGAATGGCATGAGTTGTGAGGGTGGGACAGAGCGAGGCGTAGGCTTGGGGCTGCACTGACTTGAGGCTGGTGCTCATGGCCGCCTGCCTGAGGTTATCTGAACAACTGCTGTTGGAGCTGTTGGGGTTCCAAGGCCAGGCAGCCCATCCTCTGCCTTGCTCGGTTCAGTTGGGGCTGTAGCTGCTCTTCCTGGCTCTCCATCTTCCAGGTGTGAGTGGGCTGCAGATGCTGGGCATTCTCCACCACGCTGTCGTGTTCCTGATAGAGCAGCTGTATGGAGCCAAGCACTGCCCCAACTACAAGTTCAGGTTCCACAAGCCAGAGGAGGCCAAGGAGCCCCCTGTGAATCCCCACGGCTCTGCCAGGGCTGAAGGGCACCTCAGGCAAGTGGAGTTGTATTCCTCCCTGCTTTCTCCCCAAGCTGCTGTTGCTGCTATATAATTGAAACAGAAGTTTTAAGCCCTGCAGAAAGGGGGGGGGGGGAGGGAATAAAGTGACACCCATGCTCAAAAATTCAGGGTGGGCAGGACATGCCCCCCCAAAAGGACTGTTGTCTCTGCTTGCCTCTTTTTATTAAAGAGTTCTTCATGTGTTGTATTTTATCCCATTTTTCAGACAATTACGGTCTTCCAAAGTGGCTCACAGCAATTAAAGGAGAAAGACAGGCAGTCTAAAAGACAAGATGCACAAGGGACAGGGGGGAAAGGGAGATCAGTTCTTTGAGGCCAGAACCAAGTGGTGAGCCATAAGGCATTTTGGCCAGGCCAGCCCTCCCTTGCTACTGTTCTTGTCTGAGGAGCATTTCTGGAAGCCAGTTGCTCTGGCACTCAACGTAATGTGTAATACCTCTGTTCTGCACTTCAGGAAGTCTGGTCTTGACATGTTCAACTTTCTGGCTTCTAAGCATCGCCAGCCCCCACAGTACAATCCCAATGATGAGGAGGAAGAGGAGGTGCAGCTGAAGTCTGCCCGGTACATAATGGGAGGGGAGACCTATCAGGCTGCTGCTTTTTGTAACTCATTTGTAATTCTGGAAAGATGGAAGTTGGGGGAGAAACTTCGATTTCTACAGTTGAGCTATAAGCCACTGCTTCTTGATACTACAAAATGGGTGGTAGAAAATTCATAAAGGGGCCAGAGCCTGAAGCCAAGGGAGGAAGGGGGGAATGTTAGGGTCCTGTTGTGCTTCATGTAGGGAGTTTGAAGCTGCATCAAGGATCAGATGACAGGTTGAAGAAGTCAGTGCTTTATGTCAGATGTGGTCCTCAAGCACTCTCTTTCTCGTCTGTCTTCAGGAGGGCAACCAGCATGGATCTTCCAATGCCCATGCGGTTCCGACACTTGAAGAAGACCTCCAAGGAGGCAGTTGGGGTTTACAGGTAGGTGGGGGTTCTGACAGAAAGTGGGGAGGAGGGGAAACCTGGGCCAACTGACCAGCCTCAACCTAGGGAAATCTCATGTCATTTCTGGCCTTGGAGATCTTTGAGGGCAGACTCTCTTGCCAGCTGCCCCCAGGAACAGCTCAAGGCTTGTCAGCTTTGTGTCCTCTGCCTTCCTATCAGGTCTCCTATCCATGGACGAGGCCTGTTCTGCAAAAGGAACATTGACGCAGGGGAGATGGTGATTGAATATGCTGGCAATGTGATTCGCTCCATATTAACTGACAAACGTGAGAAATATTACGACAGTAAGGTGAGTTTGAATGGCTAGCCGGTCTCCAGCTTTCCTAGTGGAACAGCTGCCCAGATCTGCAAATTGTGGAGCAGTGAGATGGTCTGGTGTTGGCAGGGCTATCCTGCCCAGTTAGGCAGATGGCAGGGAGTGCCTTTCAAGACCTCACAATCATGCATGTTCTCTCTCTCTCTGTCTCAGGGCATTGGCTGTTACATGTTCCGTATTGATGACTCAGAAGTAGTAGATGCCACCATGCATGGGAACGCAGCACGCTTCATCAATCACTCTTGTGAGCCCAACTGCTACTCCCGAGTCATCAACATTGATGGGCAGAAGCATATTGTCATCTTTGCTATGCGCAAGATCTACCGTGGTGAAGAGCTCACCTATGACTACAAGTTTCCCATTGAAGATGCGAGCAACAAGCTGCCCTGCAATTGCGGTGCCAAGAAATGCCGACGGTTCCTCAACTGAGCAGCCAAGCCAAGCCAAGCCACAGCAGTGGCCGGAGTTAAGAGTCAGGCTGCTGGTGCCCCTCCATAGTAGCAGATGTGTAGGCTTGGTCTGGTAGGGTGTGACCTGCCTGGAACAAGGTGGACTTTGGCGTTCTGTATGATTAGGAAAATTGGGGTGTGGGGCTGCAGCAACCAAGGCCTTGCTTAGCCTGCAAGGCGAGGCATTTCTTCCAGGGCACCTTGCTGCCCCCTCAAGTTTGGAATGTGTGGCCTGCCCTCATGTTCCAGCTTGGGCTGGCGTCTTGGTGGTGATTCTCCAAAATTCCTGCGGCCACTGGGGAGGAATCCCAAGCAAGCAGTTTGGGCAGTGGAGTACCAAGTACTTTGGGTGGGCTTATAGGAGGACAAGCAGACCCTTAGAGGAGGAGCTCCTGTCCCAGAGAACAGCCTGTGGAACTGAACTTTCACAACTGACCCCGGCCCTATATCTCTCCTCCAGTCAGAAATTTAGAGGCCCCCAAAGTGGAAATGGAGCACTCCAGATGGGCCTCTTGGAAGCAGCAGTGGTAAGCAGCTTGTTTTCTGACGTGAAATAAGCACTGGTAAACCTTCAAGGGGCTGTCGTGGCAGCAGTTGTAACAACAGCCCCCTGTGTTTGCAAAGAGATTAGGAATCCCGGACTTTGTTAAATCCATGTCCATTTTCAAGCCTATAGAAGCAGCACTACTTCTCAGCCTCCTTCAGTTGCGCCATCTTGAATTAAGTCATTGGATTTTCCTTGGTTCTGTTTACACTTTAGTATTTAAAGTTTTATAAATGTAAATATATTTTGTATATTTTTCTATGAGCAGCACTTCATAGGGAAGAGCACTTAGGAGACTATTTTTTCAGTCATGGTATCATCCTGATTTAAAAGAATCCATTTTAAGGGTGAATGTTTTATTTTAATAGGATGGTCTTTCCAAGGTTTGGGCCAGGCATATCCTGATTCTTCCCTCAGGAGGGAGAAGAGGCTTTTTGGGTGCTGCTTTAGCTAACGGTTAAGTTTGGAGGGAGGAAGCTTTCTCCCATTTTCAGGAGAGGTTTTTGGAACAACCCCTATTCAGATATCGGTGGGCCTTCCGTTCTCCTCTCCCTGGATGTGAGGAGAACTGCCAAGATTCTCTCTAACCTCCTCTCCCTTCCCTGCCTCGTTTCAGGGCCAGAGGAGTAAACACCCAGTTTCCCACCAGGTTGCCCCCCAGTCTGTCTTATTCCAGCAGGCAAAAGTCAAGGCAGAAAACCTGTGGACCCCTCTTAAAACATAGCAGAATCAAGGCCCGCTCCAGCTAAGCCCCCTCGCAGCAAGGCCCTTGTTTCTGCTACCAGTGGTCCACCCACCACTCTCCTGGAAGGAGGAATCAGTGTTCCAGACCCATCATCTTCACTGTCCCAAGGCCAGGGCTTCGTATCCATGAGGCAGTTTGGGAGAAAAAGGCAAGACCCAGGTTGGGGTTGAAAAGAGGCAGTGGCTGTCTAGACCCCTTTTTCTGTATTGGCCTCTGGGTTGCACTGCCTGGAGAAACACAGTTCCTATCCTCTGCTGCTCTGTGGCTGCTAGAAGAGCCCCCCCCCCCCCTTTCACCTGAAGGAAACTGAGCAGGTTCTGAACCCTTGGCTCAAGCAAGGCTTTGTTGGGGCCCACGTTCACAGGCATCTCCTCCTCCTCCTGTTGTTACTCCATCTTCTGGCTGTCCTGAGCAGCAGAGCTGCTTTAGGCTGGTCTGAACCCCAAAAAGCTGCTGCTGCTGCTGCTGCTGCTGCTGCATCATCTGAGGGGGAAGTTGGGGAGAGCTTAGCTTTCCAGAGCAGCAGGGAATGGGAGCAAAAGGAAGCTGCTTTGGACAGCTTCCTGGCAATATGAATGTATCTTTCTACGAACTGACAGATCATGATATCTAAGAATACTAAGAGTCAGTCCACCCTTTAAAGGTTTTATTTTTTTTAAAGGAAAAGCGGGTCACTGCAAAGGGCTGGGCAAGAATCTTCTCTTCTTTGTTGTGAAGCAATACTGGGTTTTTAGTCAAATTCATCCTTTGTGCAGAATCATGTCATTTGGCCAGATTGCTGCTGGCCCATCCCCTGCTCTCCTCCCCACACCTGCAAGTTTTTATTACTATAAATAAGGTATCTATAGGAACTAATATCGTACTGCATTGTGTCTTGAAGCCTGGCTTTGAATTCTCTTTAATCCTTTAGATAATGGTTGTGTTCCAGTTGCTAAAAAGGCAGGAAAAGCAACAGGCCAAGGGCCCCGTGGCCAGTGGACACCTCCCTCCTCCAAGAGGGGTTCTGTAGCAGGCGAGGGCAGGCGCTGTTTGTCTGAGCTTGCCTGTGGGCGGACCTCCTGGAAGTGAGGTTGGAGGGCTTGGCTGTGGATTCTCCTGACCTTCTGTGTTTAATAGCCAACCCTTGTACAACTTGTTTCTCTCCACCGCCTCTTTTTTGGATTCCAGTTGGTGGAGCTCCTCAACTGCATTGTGTGCTTTTCTGGTCTCTCAGTAAGGTCCTGCAGCTTTGCCTTTCTGCCGAGAACTGTGCTCGTGGTGTTTCTTGGATTCAGCGTCTTCAATAGCTACAGGTAGTGAATAAATGTCTCAAGCCACTTTGCAAAAGCTACGTAAACAGGGCTCTGATCCATACAAAAAGCAACTTATCATGTAAAACCAATTTCTCTTTTTTTCTTGTGTTCTTCCAAACTGAGTTTTTTTTCTTTAAAAAGAGGAAATGCGTTGCTTGTGCTGCATCAGTGTTAATTCCCTGTCATTGTTACAGGGATGAAGGAAGTACTTTCAATAGTTTAAGAAATGACTGAAAGACTGAATGTAAAAATAAGTGTATATAGTTGTACAAAAAAAGGAGTTTTTAAACATGTTTATTTTCTATGCACTTTTTTATTTAAGTGATAGTTTAATTAATAAACATGTCAAGTTTATTGCTTCAAAGGATGGGGTTTCTTTTATTGATTGGGGCTGAGATTTTTCCCAGGCCTGTCTGTTGTCAGAGTTGCTAGAACAGGAGTTCTCCTCCTCACCTGCACCAAAGAGATGCCTATTGTTCCACATGCACGAGGCAGCCACTGACATCACAGGGCATATTCCAGCATCTTTGCAGGTATGATCCATGGGTCTCTAACTGCAGCAGTCCCCCAGGGACTGTGCAAAAGCCCCCCCTTACCACCCCCTGCGGGCAGCTCTTTGAAGGAGAACCAAGATGAAACAGTCTGGCAGCAGCTTTCCTATATAACCCTCCTGACAAAATGTCGAGAATGACATCCAGCATTTCCCCGGCATCAGATGGACTCATTCCAGCCTTTGCTAGGAGCTTTTCCCTTCATTTTCAGAGTTTTTTTCCTCAGTGGCATTTTCTCACAGAATGCCTAAGAGAAGGGCCTGTTGAATCAATCTCCAAGTTAAACCTGCTTGGCCTGGAGAAAGTGAGTTTTCATTACTTTTAAGCATGTGCATCAGCGTGAGAAACACTCCCCAAAAAACAATGGCTCAGACCTTTGACCCATTCCTGTCACTCAACCAAAGATGCCCCCTTAACGCTTCTGGTGTTCCTGCTGATGAAAACAATTTCAATTTTCTTCTCAATTTGTTAATGTAACTAAGTAAGCAGGTTGTATTTGTATTTAGTAATAAAGAATAGTGTTACCTGTACCCAGTTGAAAACCAGAAGGCAAAGCACTATTGCTGACATGCAGTGTCTTACCTCTAAAATTTTGCCCTCTATTCACACTCCTTCTGGAGATTTGTAAATGTTGTCCTTGGTTGTACTGTATTTACCACTTGCTGTTTTCTGTGTTCCCAAAAGTCGCACAAGTCAAATTGATCTCCTCCCCACCTATGCTCCTGGGCAATCAGGAATCATGAGTATATCCTACCTTTTAACGAAGTATTCAAGACAGCTTATAACAAAACAGTAATATAACCGTCATAAACCAAAAAAGCAGCAGCGGTTTACTCCTGGCTCATCCTCTTGGGACGTCTGAAGGGGCCACTGCAGCCTTGAATGCCGTAACAGGCATCATCTGATGAGCATGGGGGTCGGGGGGGAAACCTCCCCTATTTGAATGGGTTGTCAGGCACACTTCTACGTCAACAAAGGCTCTTGAGGGACTGGGTGTTGGATGTTGATCCCAAGCCACTCCCTTTTCTCTCCAGAAAAGCTGGATTCATCACTCTGGCATCAGGAAGCTGCTTCCTCTGGAATCAGATGGTTCATCTATTTAATTACCTCCTTGGGTAGAATTGCCAACGTTTCCTGTCCAACCTGACTGACTGAGGCGACATGCAACTGCTATGATAAAGTCCCCATCCTGTTCCCCTCTTGTACAGCCTTGGCTCCTGATCTTTCTGGGCTCCCCCATCCTGTCCCTCTGAGTATGCTCAGGAAAAGGGGCCAAGACCCATTCCCACTTCAGCTCCCTGACCACTCTCCGACAGCTGGCCCCTCACCACCCTCTGCACTGTAGCAGGCAGGCTGTAGGGCTTCTGGCAGGGCACGCCCATCCCCTCTCTCATCGCTATTGGCTGCTGATAGGCCGGCCCCTTGCTCCCCAACCAGAGCATTTGAGATCTCAACTGGCCCGTTCCTCCCCACGGAACTTTCCCTTGTCTGGGCTTCAACATGGCCACCGTCAATGATCGGGCAGTTTTACAAACTATTTTCCACCCAAATGTTCCCTTTGATGAAGACTTGGAAGAGGACCAGGAGAAGCAGCAAGCAACCCAAGGTGACTTGACACACTTCCAGTTGGGGGGAGGGGTTCTTTCATAAACTCTGGAGGCTTCTCTGGGCTTACAGCAGATTCCTCAGCCTGCTTCTCACAAATCATTTCCAAATCAGACACCTGGAAGGGCTGGAGAGGTTTTGCCTGTTGCTCTCCAAAAACGGGAGTTGGAGGGGAAGATTTGCAGGCCGTTTTCAGAAATGTGCTACCTTTGATCATATTTCAAAAAGCAACAAGGACAGAGGGCTCAAGGCTTCACCTGTTGCTTCATTCCCACTGGAGGGCAGTCCAACTTCCAAAAGACAACTGAAGTGACCAGCAATATTATTTGTGCTTTGCACCAAGGGGGGAGGAAGGCAAGGCTGCAGCTGCCTCTTAAAGCTTATGTTTGAGGAGCTGCTTGGGACCCAACATTCCTGGGGTGGCATGGGTGACTGGCTACTGGCTGGCTCTTGAGACTATTAGTTGCCAGAGCTGTGGCTAGAGTCTGCTTCTCATGCCGTGACAGAAGAGGGCTTTGATCCTGAGCTGTTAAAGCAAGCCACGCGTCTGGAGGCCCAGGGAATTGCAGCAGCTGAAGGAGGGGACCTGGAGCTGGCCCTGGAGAAGTTCAACCAAGCCATCCAGCTGCTTCCAGAGCGAGCCTCGGCCTTCAACAACCGTGCACAAGCTTTTCGTCTTGGCGGAGAGGTTGCAAGTAAGTGTGTGCACTCGGGGCCTGATCCATCACCCTCTTCCTCCGTTGGCAATCACAGCTGCCTTTGGCCTGGGACAGGAATCGCAGTCTCTGAGGGCATTAAGGCAGGGCATCTGGCTCAGCAAGAGGGGAGGGCAAAGCAAGGCCATCACTCTGAGTCTGGCTGGATCTCTTCTTCATCTAAAGTACTGTACAGCATGTTCAGGTTCTGTTGGGCCCATGAGCAAAGGTGCCAGGAGCTGCTCTAGAAGCTGCCTGTGTGAGCTATCTCCAGATCTGTTCCCATCCATTAGGATAATGGGTCACACAAACGTGGCAGGTGATCAAGGTGGTTTGAGACACTGGAAATTGGCCTCCTGAACAGGAGTCCCATTCTCCCTGTTCGCTACTGTTCCCCTCCCTTTATTTGATTTATGCGGCTGCCCGACTTGCAAAGTGACTCACAATTGGGCCAGAAAGAAAGGGACCAAAACACAAGCACCCAGAACAGAGAAGCAGAGCAAGACGACATCCCACCCGCCAGCCCAATGGTGGGGAAGAACCAAGGTGCCAGGGCTTTAGGCCAGTGCCCGCCTTTCTGGTGGGACAAGGGTCCAGAGGGCTGGCCCCATCTCTGCCATTAAGTGCTCAGGTTTCCTGGAGCCCACAGATAGGAACCCTGTTTGCACCAAGCCCTGACCCAATGTTTACTCAACCAACTCAGCCACACTCTTTTCCATCCCATCAGAGGCACTGGAAGACCTGGAGGCTGCACTGAAGTTCAGCAGAGGGGCTGGCCCGGTGGCCCGCCAGGGTTTTGTGCAGCGAGGGATGATCCAGCGGTTGCAAGGCCAGGAGGAGGCAGCTCGGAGGAGTTTTGAGCAGGCTGCCAGCCTGGGCAGCGCCTTTGCCCACCAACAGCTGGTGCTGATGAACCCTTATGCAGCCCTCTGTAACCAGATGCTGTCCGAGGTGATGAAGCAGCTTCACCCGAAGGGGCAGGAGAAGGGTTGCTGAGCCTGGGCAAGC